ACATCGCCAGGACGGCCGGCCAGCTCATCCCCTCGCGTATAAAAGTTGTTTAATTGAGGGACTAAAGAAAAGAGAATAACATTCTGTACTCACTGCTTAATTAAATGTCACGTAAGCGTTTCTAGATCACGGTCATTTCAGGTAAATTTACATGCAGTGTGAAGATACGAGCATGATAAAGATTGCTAGCATTAGCATGCCAACACAACAATGCAGCACAAGTTGTTTTGGTTTCATGCTGGTGATCAAGGGCGACATCTTCTGGATCAAAAAATTGCATATGAAGCCTTTAAGGAGCAACAAGAGGTAGTGTGAAAAATGTTGCATGTGTTACTGCTCTGTAGATAGATTTACACCTATACTCTATGTGAGAACTGCAAATAAATCAAATGGCCACAAGATGGCAGTGTTGCTCAACTCTCCATGGTTTGGTGTGCTCTCACCATTTGATGAAATGAATGCTCTGCTGGAGAAAGTTTAAACAGGTACTGATCTTTTTTTTTGTACACTGAAAGGAAACATAAGAAACCCTCAGACTGTAAAATATTATTTTATTCTATGATGACGAAAAGGTCCAGCATGTAAAGGAGGTGAACATCTGCAGTAGTTTTATATTTAGTGGATGTTTTTTGGTATGAATTTGTCTTCTATCCAAAAATAAAAGATGAGACTATAATATATGACCTCCAGTAACATCCAGAATGAGCACATTACAGATGTGTGTCTATCAATGCCAGAGTCATCTCCTACCTTTTCTTGTGAGATTACTTCTGATTGCAGACATAGAAAGTTGTTTGAAGATAATATCTATGTTAACATATCTCACTTTGTTATCTTACTTCCATAAAGAGTTGGTTTTCTTAATTTCATCACAAAGATATGACTTTATTCCCAGGTCAGGTATCTTTATAGGGCTTATAAATATCATTTTTATCATCTAATTTCTGCTGAGGCTTAGTTTTGTTTTAAACTGAAAGAAGGATGTCAAAGTCAAACTGATTCTCTGTGCAGCAACACAGATCAAACTTAAATGACAAATGTCACCTCATGTTAGTATAACTATTGATTTGATGAAGTCAATGATGTACTAAAACTGTAATATCTGGTACTTTTTTATGCTACTTATTTTGCCATATTCACAAAATCACAAATCAGTAGTCAAAAAAACCCACAAATCAACATAAAGCAAATGAACCTAACGTAAGGACAAAGGAATGCAAACTCTGAGTTCACATGTTTGTACACAGGATCTGATGCTGTTTCAAAAGTTGATCCTCTTTGTAGATGTTGTGAATGATTTTAGCTGATGACAAATAGGAAATATTACAGATCTTGATAAATATTGTCAATCCAATCAGAATAATTTCAATTAAGTTTTTAAAATTGTTTTTTAAACTATCATTAATACATGTGTTGTATTGGAAATAATGCGTAATATATCAACAAAATAAGAATGAAGTAAGGTGAAAAGTCCATTTTCCACTCACATCAAGGTTTCCGTTGTTCTCTTTAGCAGGTCAGTGTAACACATTGGATCTAGATTTAGCCATCTATTTTTTTCTGTGCATGAGGAGTTACCAATGTGAACCTCCATAAATGATGCTACATTTTTTTCATTTTATTTGTTTTTTATTCATTAATTACCCTATTTTTTTTCTCATAACATTCCATAATCTCAACTGAACTCTGCTTAAGTCAGATAGAAAGCATGTGATCCAAACTCCACACACTGTTTCTGTTGATGCAAATGAGCAAATGATGTAAGTTGATGATTACTGTGTCCGACAAATAAACTTAACATGATGTGTTTAAATAGGCAATGTCGACATTAACTCAACCTGTGAAGCATGTGAGGGCAGTAAACATACATCTAAAGAACAGATTAAATGAATTTGATTGAATGAATGAATGTTAATGACTTTGCCAATTACACACACAACTCCCATTAAACTATTTTATCTATCGTTGAAAGTCTTGACACTGGCTGCCTCTTTGTCTTCATATTGATTTTATTATTGTCTAAAGCACTTGGCCTCCCACCAGATTAACTTTTCAGAGTTGATTTTAGTTTATGAACCAGGACGACCCCTCAGGTCTTCTTGTTCTTCTATGGTTCTTCTTTAGTTGTTCCACAGAGCAGAACAAAAACCTTTTGTGATTCTGCGTTTGCTGCTCTGAGACTTTGGAACAGACTTCAGAGGATCAGAGAATATTGAGATTTTTAAAAACAATTTAAAAAACTCATTTATTCAGTCTGGCTTTTCTATATGACTTAATCATTTTAAGGCTTTTAATTTACTATATTTTAATCAATATTATTCATCTCTACTTTTAAATTTACATTTTAGTGTTTGATTTTAGGTTTTTAGTATTTATATTTATCAATCATTGTGCTGATTTCATTTCTTATTGCTGTTATATTTTACAAACTACCTTTTGTCAGTCATTTTTCCGCTCCTTTGTAAAGGACTTTGAACTGCAATTAGATTTGTACCACAGGTGATATATACAGTATATATATACATATATATATAGATGCATATGGTTTGATAGATTACACAATGTTGAACTCAGGATTTTCTCTGATGTTTATTTTGAATACATGCAGATTTTATCAGATATGAACCCATCACAACAGGAATACACTTGAAAGGTTCTCATAGATGCTTTATGTAAGAACCAATCGTCAAACAATTATAGCTTCACTTAAAGTGTGTCATACATTTAAACACATTCATCATCCATTGAAGAAAGGTAGTTGATGGATACGTTTAAAAGATATTTTTCAATTCGAATTTCAAGTTTTTAGATGCAAATAAAGGTTTTCACAAGTTCCAGTTTTTAAAGTAAGAATCATAAACTCAAAAGAAGAGCACATTATAAAACATGCCCAAAATAAGACTCATTTTAAAACAGATTAAAATTGTATTGTGATAATAAATGCTGCAGATACAAAGTAATATAAGATAATACCAGTCACCAAAACATCACTCATGATCATCTCTCATTAAACACCACTCAAAGACAAATAATCTAATCTCATGTCCTCAATCTTCAAACGATTAACATCAAAACTAAAACACCACTGAGTATTATAAATCCCTAAATAAAACCACAAGTGAAATATTCACTCCATTACACATGTTGGGAGTGCTTTACATCTTTCCCCGACCAAAAATAATTCACAACCTACAAAGAAGCATAAATGTGACCAAAAGCTGAATCAATTCAGAAACATGCAGTTTATATATTCAGTTTGAGACAATGATTGTTGGATTTCAATAATGGCTTTCTTTACCTAAATGGTATTCAACAGCCATACAGCTGCTAGCTGTGTAAGTAATGTATCCAGTGTCATGTGTGTCTATGTATCAGTTTATATTATTATATATTATGATTTATCTTTGTCCTCAATAAAATCATGTTGTATGTTGTTGGAACTTATGCAGATGCAGAAGGGAGTCAACAATTTAAAACAACAATACAACATGTATATGATAAAAGCTAGAAAGAGTCCTGAGTCTGAATAAGAAAATTCTGTGTTATTCATGTTGTTGAGTCATTTCCATGGTCTTTTAATTACCCTCAGGTCCAAGCAGATGCGGCTTCTTCTCGAACTTCCTGCATGTTAATAAAGACACAAAAGTACATCTGTTTAAAGAAAGCAGTATAGAGTAAACCTAGTGAGAGATAAACTGAAGAAGAAATGATTCTATTTAACAAACGATCTAACATTCAACTTATTTTAAAGATAAACGATGTACTCATCATGCAGATCCATCATCTCACTGCTGAGAACTTTCAGTTTTTTTAAATCTCAAGTAATAAAATACATTATTTCAAAGTTTTTGTCCGTTGGTAGGAAAATACAAAAGTTTGACACCAATGCTAATTTAGCATCAAAAAAAGATCAAAATCATATATATGCAAAAAAAAAGAATCCTGAAGCTTGTTTCACTATGCAATCATTCCCTCCCTGCTCATTGTTCCATTCTAATGCTCATATATTAAAACAGCCTTTCAATGTAATAAAACCACTAACTGCATATATTAATATGTCACATACACACCCATTCAAAAAGCCAATTTTTACAACAGAAATAAACATGTTTACAGCCCGATTCAAAAAACAAATTGGTCTGATTATCTCATGTCTCAATCAGCACACACTGTATGAAGAGGGATTTTTTTTTTAACATGTCCGTTTTTCTTTTAATGAAGGATACACGTTATTCACAATAAGACCCGTAGCTTATAGGCCTGGGCTAAAAAAATGTTATCAAAATGTCATATCAGTCGATATAATTATCACAATAATTGTCAATCATTTTTACTTTCAAATTTTCAAATTAAAAGCTGATTTTTGCTCCTGAGTGAAAGTTGAAGAAACCAGAGGGTTGGTTAATCTTTTGGTTTCACTCCCATGCTGTTGCTTACCTCTCTTAACCTGAGGGCCCCAAACCAGAGTCCTGCACGGTTCCAATACAGGTCAGTAAAATTGTTTCAGTACAGAAACCTGACTGACTGTCTAGACTTGCTGTCTAACCTGGATGCAAACCAGGACAAAGGACCAATAACATGTTGGAGTGTTGCTCACTTTGGCAGTATTTTGTTAAGTTAAAGTATCAAATCTATTAGAGTAGAGCTTCACCAGCACAGGTAAGCATACGTTAACCTGAAAGGAAGACCGAAGGCTGAGGATGCTAGCACAGCTAATGTTTTCCACACTCAGCAGATTGTAGATCACATGTTCAACCATATTAAATAAACTGTACTCAATGTGGACTGTTTTCTATTTACTTCAGCCAAGTCAACTGGTTTTATGTTTAATCAACAGCAAGTTAGTTCATATTGTATCCTTTAACATCTTAATATTCAACTATTATCTAAGGATTGGAAAATCATTGTACCACTGTTCAAAGTGCTTTTTTGCAGCCTTCACACTCTTTCTATCAGTCTTCTTACAGAAGACCCTGATCAGCTGCTCAGCAGCAGAATGTGCCAATCCTGGATGCCTGTAAAGAATGACAGCAGCTTTAATTTGAGAGTTATGGTGACATAAGCTGCCTTACAAATAATAAACAGAAGAAATATTGAATGATTGCGATAAAAAAATTGTTTTAATCAATAATTAGTTCTGACATTTTTGCTGTTCTCGTCTTTCATGCCGTAGTCCATGTTAATGACCTAAAAAGAAGGTCGAGAGTAAAATGTGTGCCATAACAAATTCTGCAACATCTTACAAATCAAAGAATCAGCAAAACTGAAGATTTTACAAAAAAAGTGAGACGAAAGAAAGTAAAAAAAACTCACCAGGATTTCAAAGTCCTCTGGTTTCAGGTTGTTTTCTTCCTCGTCAGGGAGGGGTTGAGCCAATCCTTCTTTCCAGCCAGAAATCCGGCTCTTGACAAGGAATCAGAAAAAAATTACAACAGTGGAAAAGGATATAGATTCAAGTTTTTTTGCATTTTAAGTTGACAATGTAAGCAACTTGGAATTCAATTCACATTCACTCAAAAAACTGCACCAACTTAGTGTAAATGCGTTTGACTGTAGGGCTGCATGGTATGATCTAAGCATTCATTTTGCTATGTGTACAAGTGCCATGGTAATATCCCAGGACGTGTGTTAGTCCATGAGCACATAAAGTGTAGAGGGAGAGAGAGAGAAGGGATCACATGCAGTGTATGAAGATGAACTGTTCTTTGCTTAGAAGTTAATGTCACAGGGCTCTTGATGCAAATTAAATGTAGCTTTGAATGTATAAGGGGTTCTTATTTGTAAAAGAAAATAAACTTGAAGACCCAAATAATAATAAAAATTGTAATAGTATGAACATGAAAAGAAAACGCAGTTTCCCCAATATCATGCAGCATTAGTTCACTGAGGGATTTTGTATTGTAAGACATTTCAAGCTGCTATCCAATTCACATTACATTTCAAAAAGAGAACTGTTCAATAGTGCTGCTGTTCATGTTAAATGTAATATTACGGGCAAGATAAAATGCTGGAGACAGTAAATAATGTGATGTGTACTTATTCTATTAACTGAAAATGAGCACATTATCCAGCTTTGTGATAACAGTGCATTATTTATTTAACCGTTTATTTGAATCAGGGTTAGTGTACAAAAAAAAACATTAGTCTCAGAAGAGAAGAGATGCTTTGTACCAGATTTAGCTAGCTAGCTAAGTTCCATCTGTTGTCCCTCGGCAGATGATGGCAACAGCAAAATACAAATCAACCAGACACACGCACGCACACACGCACGCACACGAGAGAAGAAAGACATAGAACAATTTACAGATATTAAAACATTATAGTTTCCCTGAGAGATCTAAAAGGTTGTCGAGATGACACATTAATGCTGACAAGGCTGGTTCCTTAAAATCCATTTTTTGACTTCCCGGGTGAAAGTGCAGAAGTTTGTGCAAAGTTTAAGACTAGTTGGAAGACTATTCCATTCCTTAACGGCTTTAAAAGAAAAAACTGATTGTGCTAAAGCGGAGCCACGTTTAGGAACACTGCAATCTCCATTAGAGGCAGACGTTGAAGATCTGCTTATCAGCTCAGAGCGAAGTTTCACAAAGCTTTTCAATGGTGGGGGAGCAGCATCATGGATTATTTTGTACACTAAGCGGACATCGGTATAAAAATTAAATGGTCAAAGCTCAGAATTTTATATTTATCAAGAATATCACAATGATGATACTGTTGTGGTTTCCTGTCCAGAGTTTTAAGGGCTTGTTTATGAAGTGACCTTATGGGTTTTAAGACAGTCTTGTTTGCTTGGGACCAACATGATATACAGTAATGAAAGTAAGAAAAAATCATAGCATTCAAATACATTTTAGACGCTTCGACTGTAAGTGAGTTCCTGATATGTCTAAAGTTGGCTATGTTATATTTAACTTTATGGCACATCTTTTTAATATGACTTTTAAAAGTAAGGTTGTGGTCTAGTGTAACACCCAAGTATCAAGTATCAACCCAACTCATCAACCTTTTTTATCATTTGCCCACCTACAATAATATTTGGAAAAAACATATTTTTGTGTTTATTTACAAAATACATGACCACAGTTTTGTCAGTATTAACGTAACGTATGAATAACGTAACCATTCTATGACTTGTTCCATTGCTAATGACAGTTTGGCAGCTACTTGTTCAGGGTCTTTCCCACATGCATATAGGACCGTGTCGTCTGCATACATCAAGGTCCACACATCATCACACACAGATGGAAGATCATTGATGTATGCACTAAACAACAACGGTCCTAAGATGGAACCTTGTGGCACTCCCATAACGCAGGCTTTTAGTGATGATATTTTATCATTTATCCGTACGCACTGGGGAGCGACCAAGTAGGTAAGACTGAATCCAATTAACAACGTTAGCAGAGAGTTTAAATTTAGACAATTTGGAGATGTGTACTGAATGATTAACTGTATCGAAAGCCTTGCGCAGGTCAAGAAATACAGCACCCACCACCCCTCCTTTATCAAGGCTACCTTTAATGACTTCAAGGAAGTAGCAACATGCCATTTCAGTGGAATGGTTTGCTCGAAACCCAAATTGCATAGGGTGCAGTAGATTTAGGTTAAGGTGATTAGATCATGTGTTATGAATGTAATGAAACACAAGAACACAGACTTACTTCCCAATCCTCGATGGGGTCCGCTGGCTTTCTCTCACCAACAAACTTGTAGATATTTCCAGAGACAATGTTTTGCAGAATTAGAGTAGAGCTTAACCAGCACCTTAACCTGAAAGGAAGACTGAAGGCTGAGCACAGCTAATGTTTGAGGCAGAAATGATTCTATTTAACAAACGATCTCTCATTCAACTTATTTTAAAGCAAAACAATGCACTCATCATGCAGATCCATCATCTTACTGGTGAGGATTTTCAGTTTTTTAAAATCTTAAGTAAAAAAAAATATTTTCAACGTTTTTGTCTTTTGGTACTAAAATACAAAAGTTTGAAGACACCAACATTAATTTGGCATCAAAAAAGGGATCAAAATCATATAAAAGCAAAGAAAAGGCAACAGTATCCTGAAGTTCAATGCAATCATTCCCTCCCTGCTCATTGCTCCATTCTAATGCTCATATATTAAAACAGCATTTCAATGTCATAAAACCACAAACTGCATATATTAATATGGACAATGAGTTTTGGTCTGTTGTATAAAGAGCAAAGACAAAATACCGGCCAACATTTTGTGCTGGTGACTTCTTTTGGAGCCAAGACATGTGCAAACTGAAGCACAACAAAACAAAAAAAGATCCCTCAGGTCAGAAAGAATCCCAGTCTCGATTCTCACATAGTTGCGATGTCATGTCTGCGTGATGCCGATTCTCTTGCTCCTTTTTCCTTCACAAACTGCACTTACGCTGCACTCGCGTCAGTATTTCCCACACAGACAATACTCGGGCTGCCCAGGTACATGTATAGCTGCCCAAGTAGCCTATATTTTAAAACTATATGTTTTAATTATTCATAAAATTGCCGTCCGCACGAGAGAGAGAGAGACAAAAAGAGGGCTGCTGTTTGTTCCTCCCTCCTGTTAATGCACCTGAGGTCCAGCCCTCCTGACATGTCAAAACTGAAGCTTCTCATGACTTAGTTTTATTATGTTTGTGAAGCTGCTTGCTGCCGATGTGATGATGCTCTCTCTTGGTTTTGCTGAATCTTGATAACAGGCCTTCACATCATGCTCACCTGTTGTAATAACTGAGATGCTAGATCAACTTTTTAAAGAGGGAGTTTTGTTGTGTTGCACAGAGCCCATGAAGGCTCAGTTAAAAAAAATCAAATGCTGTCTGCTAATCAGTACAATGGACTTGTAAAGCGTGGCTACGGACTAGCAAACTGTTGACAAGGTTTCATAAATTCTGCGAGACAAAACAAGGGGCTGAGGTCCATCAATTATTTCCATCAGCAAGGCATATCTGGTTTTACTCTCTCTCTCTCTCTCTCTCTCTCTCTCTCATGCGCACATCTTTATTCCATTTCTTTAAACGAGACAAAATCAGGATGAGAATGCAGGAAAATAAATGTTTGGTGCTTAACATTTTCTTGGGGAGACCCCACCTGAAGCTGGCTAGAGAAACACTGGAAGCCACATACACACCCATTCAAAAAAAGTCTGTTTGAGACTGTAGATCACATGTTCAACCATGTTAAATAAACTGTACTCAATGTTGACTGTTTTCTATTTACTTTAGCCAAGTCAACTGGTCTGAATTTATATTTGATGTTTTATGTTCAATCAACAGCAAGTTAGTCGATATGTATTGTATCCTTTAACATCTTAAGATTCAACTATTATCAAAGGATTAGAAAATCATAGTACCACTGTTTAAAGTGCTTTTTGGCAGCCTCCACACTCTCGTCATCAATCTCCTTACAGAAGACCCTGATCAGCTGCTCAGAAAAGCACGTTGTGTGAATCCTGGATCCCTGTAAAGAAGGACAGCAGCTTTAATTTGAGAGTTGTGGTGACATAAGCTGCCTTACAAATAATTTAAAGATAAAGATAAACTTTATTGATCCCCTGTGGGGGAAATTTGTGCATTACAGCAGCTCCAGAAAACAGGGGACGGGAATATACTTATTAAAAATAAAACTAGAAGTTAAAATCAAATCAAACATATTTACATCATTTAAATAAAATAAAAAATACAATAATGTAAAATTACACAGTAATTAAGGGATTGCTCTTAAAAAAACACACACACAGTGTGTAGCATGAGGTGGTGATGTTGTTAAAGAGTCTGATTAAACAGTCTGACTGCAGATGGGATGAACGACCTGCGGTAGCGCTCTGTCTTGCAGGGTGGGTGTCTCAGTCTGCTGCTGAAGGAGCTGCTCAGGGCCCCCACAGTGTCATGCAAGGGGTGAGAGGGGTTGTCCATGATGGATGTCAGCTTCACTAACATCCTCCTCTCACCCACCTCCTCTACAGAGTGCAGAGGACAGTCCAAGACAGAACTGGCCCTCCTGACCAGTCTGTTCAGTCTCTTTCTGTCTCTCTTTCATGCTCCCTCCTCCCCAGCAGACCACTGCATAGAAAAGTGCAGACGCCACCACAGTGTCATAAAAAGTCCGTGGCAGAGTCCTGCACACTCCAAAGGACCTCAGTCGTCTCAGCAGGTGAAGTCGACATTGGCCCTTCTTGTACAGGATGTCGGTGTTGTGTGACCAGTCCAGTTTATTGTTGAGGTGAACACCCAGGTATTTGTACGTCTCCACCCTCTCGATGTCCAAGCCCTGGATGTACACCGGTGCAGTCTGGGGTGACTTCCTGCGGAAGTCAATCACCATCTCCTTTGTCTTGCTGGCGTTGAGCTGAAGGTGGTTGAGCTCACTCCAGTCGACAAAGTCCATGATGACCTGCCTGTACTCCTGTTTGCTCCCCTTAGACACACACCCCACGATGGCTGTGTCATCGGAGAACTTCTGCAGGTGGCAGCTCCCAGAGTTGTAGCATAAGTCCGAGGTGTACAGGGTGAAGAGAAAAGGGGAGAGAACTGTCCCCCCTGCGGGGCCCCTGTACTGCAGACCACCATGTCAGACTCACAGTCCTGAAGCCTCACGTACTGTGGTCTGTTGGTGAGGTAGTCCGTTGTCCATGCAGCCAGGTGACAGTCCACTCCCGCCCTCTCTAGCTTCCCCCTGAGCAGTGCAGGCTGGATGGTGATGAAGGCACTGGAGAAGTCAAAGAACATGACCCTCACAGTGCTGCCGGTGTTCTACAGGTGAGTCCAGGATCTCTGCAGCAGGTAGATGACGGCGTCATCCGCCCCGATGTTCGGCTGGTAGGCGAACTGCAGAGGATCCAGATTTGAAGTCATCAGGGGGCGGAGGTTGTTGAGGACGATCCTCTCCATGGTCTTCATCAGGTGAGAGGTGAGGGCACAGGTCTGAAGTGGTTAGGCTCCCTGAGGTGAGATGTCTTTGGGACTGGCACCACGCAGGAAGTCCCCTATTCCCCCGCCTTTCTTCTTACCGCTCGCGCTCCGGTCCGCTCTGACGAGTTGGAAGCCGTCCAAAGTCACGAGCGTGTCCGGAGTGAGTTCATTCAGCCATGTCTCCGTGAACTGCATGATGCTACACTCTCGGGTACTCCCTCTGAAGCCGGGTGAGCGCCGTCAGCTCCTCCATCTTATTAGGGAGAGATCTTACATTCCCCATAATTAAAGACGGCACGGATGGTTTGTACCATCTTTTCTTTTCCCGGCACTTCACTCCGGCTCTGCATCCCCTTCTCTTCCTCCGTAGTTCTGCGGGGATGTCCGGTCTTTCGGCTGGATGTAACCGAGGCTGGCACAGCGCAACCAGCTGTTCACGGGTGTAAACAATGGAGCCCAATAAACAGAAGAAATATTGCGATAAAAAATGTTTTAATCAATATTTAGTTCTTACCTTTTCTTCGGGCATTAGCTTTGCCTTGTCAAGCTCAGATTTGCTGTAGAAATGAACATGTTGGATAGGGTCCTTGTCGTCCATGCCATAGTCCATTTCAATGACCTAAAATGAAGGTTGAGAGTAAAAGTATGTCTGCAGTAACAAATTTTGCAACATCTTACAAATCAAAAAATCTGCAAAACCCAAGATTTTACAAAAAGGTGAAATGAAAGAAAGTCAAAAAAACTCACCAGGATTTCAAAGTCCTTTGGTGTCAGGTTTCTTTCTCCCTCAGCCAGTCCTTTTTTCCAGCTAGGAATCAGGCTCTTGAAAATGGAGCAGAAACGTTGAGAAGAGTGCGAAAGGATAGAAAAGGTTTTTTGCATTTTAAGTTGACAATGTAAGCAACTTGGAATTCATTTCACATTCACTCAAAAAACTGCACCAACTTAGTGTAGATATTTTTGACTGTAGGGCTGCATGGTATGATTTAAGCATCATTTTTGCGTATGTGTACAAGTGCTATGATAACATTACAGAATATATAATATCAATCATATGTCCTGAAATGAATTGCCATTTTTTTGTTGTTTTTGCTTTTGAAAAAACAAAAAGCCTTCAGTTTCTCTCTTTCCATGACTGATCTACAATATCAGTCTGTCTGATCCTCTTCCTGATCACAAAGAGAAGTGACTTCTGTGCAGGCAGAGTCTATGTGCACATAAGATGTAGAGTTAAAGGGATCACATGCAGTGTGTGACGATGAACTGTTCTTTACTGTCACAGGGCTCTTGATGCAAATTAAAAGTCACTTTGAACATATAAGGGGTTTTTATTTGAAAAAGAAAATAGAATTGAAGGCCCAAATGATAATACAAATTGTAATTGTATGAACCTCAAAGGTTATCGCAGTTTCCCCAATATCATGCAGCATTAGTTGACAGAGGGATTTTGTATTGTAAGACATTTCAAGCTGCTATCCAATTCACATTGCATTTCAAAAAGAGAACTGTTCAATAGTGTTGCTGTTCATGTTAAATGTAATAACAACACGGGCAAGATAAAATGCTGGAGACAGTAAATAATGTGATGTGTACTTATTCTATTAACTGAAAATGAGCACATTATCCAGCTTTGTGATAACAGTGCATTAGATCATGTGTTATAAATGTAATGAAACACAAGAACACACAGACTTACTTCCCAATCCTGGATGGGGTCCTTTGGCTTTGTCTCACCAACAAACTTGTAGCTCTTTCGAGAGACGATGTTTTGCAGAATCTCTCTTGCCTTTTTAGCTCTGAGCAGGAAGACTTCAGTATTTCCTCAAACACGTTGTCTAAAAGAGTAACAGAGTAACAAGCAAACAAATGATAATAAACACACACAAAAATTAGTAATTTAATTTAAACACACGCAATAAATTGTAAGACATGGCATGTTAATTTATAAGTCATCACAAGTAAATTAACAGGATGTGGTTTATTTATCTTTAACAAATGCACGATAAAAAAAATGGATAAAGTAGCATAACTGTAAATGACCTAGCAACAGAGCCATCTGACAGAAAGCAGCATCTAACAAAGTGTGTTTCCAAAAAGTGTTGAAATATGTCATATTTCTGTTACTTCATAAATAAACATCCTAAATATCAAACAAGTTCAAATGATCAGGACAGCCAGTTGTTCAGGATGTTTGAGACTGGATTTGTGAACTCCTCAAACTACCAGATAACCTTGTCCTTGGCCAAACATCAAAACCGACCAAGTGCCTACACACAATTTCCTTTTCAGATTGTTGGGTGTAGTGCATTATTTAAACAATGTCTTGATACTCCTGTAGTCTGAATTGGCTTCAATGTTAAACATGAGCTAACAGCACACATTTAAATCTACACACCTGTGAGCTTTGTGTAGGCCTCCATGTTCTTAAAGGCTGTAGAGAGAGTGAACATCTCCCTCCTGATCCTTCAATCTGAATGTGATCGTCTGCTTTCAAAAAAGCCTCTGCAATCCTGTATGTTCATATCAAATATTATTACTGATGAGATAGTGAATCATGATGCAGATTGAATAATCGAAAACAGAAGGAGACCAATCTTATATTTGGAGTACTAACTTCTGAAGGTAGACACTTACATTTCTTGTATGATTGGCTTACTCTATGCTGACAGGCTCTTTTGTGGAGACAGTGTCTTGTATAGAACAAGTGGTACATATGGTCTTCCTTCTGTTGAGGTTAGGACTGTAGTTTAGTCATAAATAACAACATTATCAGTTTGCTTTCAATTATCTGTTTACAAGCTCAAGTGTGTCAGCACCTTGTCTCTGGTGCAGATAGTTTTCCTTTTCCTTCTTTGCAGTCTCTTCAACCTACACCCTGGCAAACTGCAGGAAGCGACGAAAGTCAAAGTTGTTCTTGATCCCCAGGTAGGAAGAGTCCCTGAGTAGAGGCAGATTGAGGCAAGGTGAAGAAAATAGGTGTATAGAGGGAAACTGAATTTACTGGAGAGTTTTGTAGCCTATAATTTAAAATAATCAGGAGAATAATGCATTGTTCACGGTAAAAAAAAAAAGAAGTGCTGTCGCGGTCTTCATCACAAAATGAATTGCTCTACAGCACTTCATTAAAACCTGACCTGGCCAAGTAGTCAAACTTGTCCACATCAACGCCGTTTTTTTTGTTGGACACAATTTCATAGAGGAAGGACCATTCTTTTGAGCGCCCTTTGAACTGCAACTGCAGGGATGACGACACAAAGCGAATCAGGACCAGTTTTATTGACACGTATGTTGTTCAATGAATTTACACTGCATAGAAAAAATATGTAGGACCATTCCACAAAACAGAGATAAAGCTAAAATATGAACACAATAAACTATGTACATGAAAAAGCATGACAAACAAAACAAACTGTTCAATTTTAAGATCTGAGTTCTCGGCAGAAGAAAAACTTTTTTTACCGTTTAAAACAAAAAGGACTCTTCTTGTCCGCCTTTATACTGAATGTTACAAAATAGTGACATTAGTGGCATTGCTGTAGGACACAGACTGATTTATGCACAGATGAGAACTTGCCTTCTGGTCTTTAGCAATCATCACCTTAATGTTTTTTGCATGTTAAGGGTTCAATCCATGCTTCGCTTTCATCAAATCATGAAAAATATTGCAAGAAGACAAGGAACTACACAAATAGCACAACCAACATTTGCAGAGTAGATCTCAAAACGTGTGTAAACACTTTAAATGTCAGAGTTCCTCAGAATTCGATGAGTGACTTAATGTCAGCCAATCTTCTGTGGACATATACTGTATACAACATCCTAACAGTCTTTATCAGGGTTATTTTGCTAGCTGAACTCAACCCAGAGTCAAACTGTTAAGCATAAGAGTTTTTGGGAAGGTGATACTGCAGCTCAGTTTCTCTCTAAGGATTTTTTCACACCTGGTTGTTTGGAAAAGTTGTTCTGAAACCATAGCCCGGTTTGTTTGATAAATATGTGAACACAGCAATCACACTCTTTTAGCTGCTCAACTTTTTTGATCTATTTTTTATTGAATGGTGCACTGTGTGCTCCTTTTTTGGCTATCTTTGCTCTTTGCTGCCCGTTGTAGGATGAATAAAGTTTTATCTTCTCTTATCTAATATTCATACAGTATCTTATCCGACTTCTGAAAAACATAATGAGGTGAACTTGCCTCCTGCTCTTTAGATTCCTGTAGAGGTCCAGCAATCATCTCCTTAATGAATGTTATGTCTTCTTCAGGTTTCAGTCCATACTTCATCATTGGTTTAAGATTATTCTCTTTCACCAGGTGGTCTAGCATGAGACGAGAGCCCCTTTCATGCTGCGAGACACACAGACTCATAAATGTGTCAACACAAGATTTAATACATAAATACAATAATCCCACATACTTTAATTTTCCCCACATTTGAAGAGTATATCTCAAACGTATGTATGTAAAACAACTTACAATGTCAGAGTTCCTAAAGCGCTTCAGAATTTGATGAGCCACTTAATGTCAGCCAATATACTGTATACAACATCTTAACAGTCTTTATCAGGGTTATTTAGCTAGCTGAACTCAACCCGATGTCAAACTGTTAAGCATAAGAGTTTTTGGGAAGGTGATAATGCAGCTCAGTTTTCTCACCAAGCGTTTTTTCACACCTGGGTTGTTTGGAAAAGTTGTTCTGAAACAAAGGGGCGTTTCCCCTTTAGCCCGGTTTGTTTGGGTGTAAACACAACAATCGCACTCTTTTGATCTAAAGTTATTGAATGGTGCACTGTGTGCTCTTTTTTGGCTATCCTTGCTCTTTGCTGCCCGTTGTAGGATGAATAAAGGTTATCTTCTCTTATTGAGTGACAAAGAGACATAAATAGATCTAGAAATCCCTTCTGCTTTTAAAAGAGGTCCCTGTCATAAATAAGTACCTCTCATGAACCATGAATTCAATTATTATCTTTGTTTGTTGTATCTAAATCCCTGAATCACCAGGATTAATGGTTAAAACAGAAACATTATTAAAATCTCATGGAGCTTCTGAACAGCGGTAACATGTCAGATAAAAAAGTTGACATATTATTACCAAAGAGAACAGGGTATGGGTCATTTAGCAACACAAGCTACAAAGTTCATTGTTATTAAAGAAATAGATCAACATTCTTGGAAATGTGCATAATCACATTACACCTGAAAAAGCAAACAAAAATCAACATCCTGGATTTTGTTTCAAAAGAACAAGCCAGTGTGAAAGGTACATGTGCTTCAGTTTTGCCGTTCCTCTGTATTTCATTTGTTATATTACTTAGACTTAGACTTTCTTTATTGTCATTCAAACTTGTACTTTACAGTGCAGATAAGAACGAAATTTCGTTGCATTTGGCTCGTTGTAGTGCAGGATAAAAAACAGCAGCATGTATTTACATATAAAAAATAAAAATAAGGTGCAGATATAAATAGATATAAAAAGAAAAAGAAAGAAAAACTATGAGTAAAGAAATAACAGAAATAAAAACTTCTTACCTTCCATTTCTTTAATTTCCTCTTTTTTTCCAGTGCTTTGGGGAGAACAGTCCATCATACAGATGGGAAAAGGGTCCATGACCTTGAAATGGATAGATAAATACAGGCGTAATCCATTGATAGTGTACAGATTATACAGTCAGTATGTCTTGTTGAGTTTGAACGGATTACTCCTGAATCTAAACTTGAGAATATTGCTTACAAGAAAGACTGTTATGTGTTTGTAAATGTATGCATGGTCTGGGTGGACTGTGGTACCGAAACGCCCTCTGGGTTAAAAAAAAATTCTGAGTCTAAATATTATTTTTAAAGATTCAGACCCTCCAGTTCTTATCAGAGTCCTTACAGACCGAGCTACCACCACCTCACCCCACCCTCTATTTTTTATTTATTAATGCAGAAGCCCTTGCTTTTTGAAAGATGGAAGGGTTATTTCTGGATCATTTCACTTTCATTTACTCTTTTCATACCCAATAACATAATTTATAAACTATTATATGTAATATTGAAAAGGGATGTATTACTCACCCAGGTCATGACAGAGGCCAGCAATCTGAACACAAAGGACGTCTCTGTCAGTGATGCTGAGATCCGGCTGCCTGACCTGAGAGCCTCAGCAAGTTTTCCTGCTAAGTATCCCACCCTTTTTAGACCACAGAAAACATTTTTTTTTAAAGTCATACGCAGTTATCACAATAGGATGCTGCTACCAAAATGAAAATATATACTTTTATAAGATCCATACTAAGACAGGCACTGTTTTCTGCCTTTATTGGTTTTACAAGGTGCTTATGTGAAAACCATGAGTCTTCTCCTTATTTGGACTGAGTCACCTGTGGGCTGAAATCTGAAAACTTGCTGACTTACCCGATTGAGTGTTCAAAGCGGTTGTGAGACGCTCCAGGGTAAACAAAGTAGACACCTCCAAGCTGCTTTATGAATCGAAGTCTCTGGAACTGAGGTGTGTCAATGATCTTGATGAGGAGTGGGTGTAACTCTATGCTACCATGGATGGGATCATTAAACACCTGGCAGAAAACAAACAAACAAAAGCTAAGAAAAATGAAATGCCAAAAACAAAACAACACCATGAAGACCAGCTCAAGATTGCCTGAGGGCTCTGGGAGTATAGGATAAGCATGAAATGAGCCCAAGAATAAAGCTGATGCTACAAAGAACGTTTTTTTGACTTTACCACTGGTTGGGATATAAACATCTAGTAGAACAAAGAGAACAAAACATTGGACACTGAAAATGTCCTTTCAATACAAAGCGTGTCTTCCTATTCCTTTTTTTTAAGTATTGAAGGAAAGGAGAACAAAGAGGGTTGATTTGGATAGAAAAGGTGAACAAAGCTAGCTGTCCTCACCACTGGTGGGGATATCAGCATCTAGTAGAACAAAGAGAACAAAACATTGGACACTGAAAATGTCCTATTTCAATAGCCTACAGTCTGTGTTCCTCTTCCTTTTTTTAGGATTAAAGAAAGGAGAACAAAGAGGGTTGGTTTGGATAGTAAAGGTGCACAAAGCTAGCTGTCCTCACCACTGGTGTGGATAATAAGCATCTAGAGAACAAAGTCCTCCCAGTTAATTCGATTTTTAATTTAGACTGATAATGGATAACACATGTACACAGGCTTAACTTTGTGGAGTGTGTTTGTGTGCGGTTTATTCTACAAGTCGTCATTGTTTGTTCTGTTTATTCTCTCTTATCTCTCCAGCCGCAAAAATGTGTGTGATGTGTGGTAAGACGTGAAGTATTTTACCTTGGTGATCAGTCTGTAAAATTAGAAAAAAAAAGCATTAACAGTATGAACAAGTGCTGAAACTTCCAACTTAAAATGATTTCTTTATAAAGTTGAGATATTTTAAACTGGTTTAACAAAGACAGAGGTACTCACTTATTTCCCTTTTGCCCCGACTTGTTCTAGATAA